ATACAACATGGAGAGATGCTCATCAAAGTTTATTGGCTACCAGAGTCAGAACTATTGGTATATATATATATATATATATATATTATTGATATATTGTGTAATTTTGATGATTTATTTATTAACATTAATGTTTATTTAAAAAAAAAAGATCTTTTGAGTATAGCACCTCATACTGCACATGCACTTGCTAATGCCTACTCGCTTGAAATGTGGGGCGGAGCAACATTTGATGTTGCCATGCGATTCTTATATGAAGATCCTTGGGATCGTTTAGTAATTTTTTTTTTTTTGCTTTGCAATATGAAAAAAATTATTATTTTATATTTTATCAACTAATTATACTTTTTTATTAATTTTTTACTCTAAAAAAATAACAGGCAAAATTACGTGAAATTGTTCCAAATATTCCATTCCAAATGTTATTGCGTGGTGCCAATGCAGTAGGCTACACATCATACCCAGACAATATAATTTATGAATTTTGTCAAAAGGCAAAAGACTACGGAATGGATATATTTCGTATTTTTGATTCGTTGAATTACATTGAGAATATGCGACTTGGCATAGATGCAGTCAAGAAAGCCGGTGGAGTTATAGAAGCAGCAATTTGTTATACAGGAGATGTTGCTAACCCCAATAAAACCAAATATGATTTGAATTATTATCTTGATTTTACAGAACAGTTGGTCAATGAAGGAATACATATACTTGCTATAAAAGATATGGCTGGATTGTTGAAACCTGAGGCGGCCAAAATATTAGTTGGAGCCATAAGAAATAAATGGCCTAATCTTCCTATTCATGTCCATACTCATGATACTGCTGGAACTGGCGTTGCTAGCATGTTAGCTGCTGCAGCTGCTGGTGCTGATGTTATTGATTTGGCCATTGATAGTAAGTTTATTTGGTGTAATGTTTTTTTAAAAAATTATTATTTTAATAATAGTGTTTTTTTGCCTTTTTGTCCTCAATTAACAGGCATGTCTGGAGTTACATCACAACCATCAATGGGAGCTGTAGTGTCAGCACTTGAAAATACAAACCTTGGTACAGGGATTAGATTAGAAGATGTGCATGCATTGAATGAATATTGGGAACAAGCACGTAAACTATATAGTTGTTTTGATGCAGGAGTGTTATCGGCAGATTCTTCAGTTTACGAGCATGAAATGCCAGGTGGACAATATACAAATTTGATGTTTCAAGCATCACAACTCGGACTTGGACAATTGTGGAAAGAAATTAAAATTGCATATACAGAAGCTAATAAATTATGTGGTGATATAGTCAAGGTCACACCAAGTTCAAAAGTTGTAGGAGATCTTGCACAGTTTATGGTTTCTAATAAATTAAGATATTCTGATGTAGGTTTTTATGAAAAAGAGTGTTAGAGAAAAGTAAATAAATAGATTGTAATGAATGCTTTTTTAACAATAATAATACTAATATTATTAAATTTATATAGGTTATTGAAAGTGCAAAAACATTATCATTTCCAGTTTCAGTAGTTGAATTCTTTCAAGGATATCTCGGTCAACCATATGGAGGATTTCCTGAACCACTTCGTAGTGATGTGAGTATATATGAACATAGAGTATATTTAGATAATATGAATATACATACATGTATTTAGTTAATTATTCAATCAAATTAATAGATAATTCGTGAGATGCCAAGAATTGAAAGCAGGCCAGGCGTTTCATTACCACCAATGGATTTAGTTGCATTGAAAAGCGAATTGGTTAGAAAATACGGTAATTCAATTCGAGAAGTGGATGTATTGTCAGCAGCCATATATCCAAAAGTGTTTTCCGAGTATCGAGAACAACTTGAAAAATACGGGAATATTTCAGTGATCCCAACCAGATATTTTGTTTGCAAGCCGGATATTGGTGAAGAGTTTAGTGTACATTTGGAGGAAGGTGTAACATTGATTATAAAATATTTGGCAGTTGGGCCACTTAGTCAGAGTACCGGGAGACGAGAAGTTTTTTTTGAATTGAATGGTGAGGCTAGAGCTGTTGGTATTGAGGATACAAGTGCTGGTAATTATTATTTTTTTGTGCGATACAATGATATTGAAGTATTATACTTGAATTTGTTTAATTTTTTTAAAATTAATATTTCTAAAATAATTAAAATACTTAAATTAGCTGTTGAACATGTTCAAAGAGAAAGGGCAGATCCTGGTAATCCCGGAGAAGTAGGAGCACCAATGTCAGGTGTAGTAATTGAAATTAGAGCTAAAGGTACATATATATATATATATGATTTATATATAAATACACTAAACTTGTTAATTTTTATAATTATTAATAATAAATTTAAATTATTATTTATTCTAATATAATAGTTGGAGCAGATATTAAAATAGGAGATCCAATAAGCGTTTTATCGGCTATGAAAATGGAAACGATAGTTACATCGCCTGTTTCTGGTAAAGTTGAATATATTGCAATTAAAGAAAATGATTCATTGAATGCAGGCGATTTAGTTGTTAGAATTGTAAAGAGTGAAGTAAATGAATGAGATTAATAGTTGAATAAATGTGATTGTTTGCCAGGCGGAAGACTTTATTAGTTTGTAAAATATAATTAATTAATTATAATTTGTAATATTATGTTATTATATTTATTTATTATTTAATAAATAATGTGTAATTATGTTTATCCTCTCATATAATAAAACATTTAAATTTTCAAATTGCTAAGAGCAAATGCAAATCCGAATCCAACCATTAAAATCAAAACTTCCTACATGAGAAGCACCTAAAAATCATATCTTTTTTACTTAATTTTTTAAACGTGATTAACATTATTAGTATTAATGTTATCGTTATTATTATTATTAATATTGTTGGTATTATTGATGGTGATTTATAATATGTTGGCTCCTCAAATTGCTGCACCACACGTTCAAATTTCAAAAAAAAACCAATTCCATTATCTGTTTCATCATTATTTGGTCTTTTAGAACATAGATAATGAGAGAAACCAACACCATTTATAAGCATTCCAGCTCAGTCATGATGGCGACGTTGCATTTGCCGTCCTTCAATAGAAATACCCACATTGTAGTTGCGAATATTTGAATCCGAAGAAGGGTAGCCCCACACGTTCCATGACCAAATAGAAGACACAAATAAACTTAAGGTATCGTATTTCTCCTTGAGAAAATAAAGAAACTTGCCTTAATATAACAATAGTATTGGTGAAAATATATGTGAGGGATGTGTGAAGGTGGTGGAGGTAGACAATCATATACTCTTGATCTTCTTCTTCTATCTACCATCTGTAATTAGAAAGAAATGGGGAAACAATTAGTCAAAGGACTAAGCAATTACAGTATATCTATTTATATTATATTTATTAACAACAAAAATGACAAATGTTTTTCTTATATTTTATTATAACATATATAACGTTTATAATATTAAAGCTTCTTTGTATACAATTTTCCGTGTATAAATCCCATCTTTGCCTTGTACTGTCTCATTCTTCACAAATACCTTGAGATTACACTCTTTACGTACTCTTGACATGGCTACGTACAACTGTCCATGAGTGAAGACAGGTTGTGGAAGATATAGACCAATATGAGACAGTGTTTGACCTTGGGACTTATTTATGGTCAGGGAAAATGCTGGTTGTAGAGGAAATTGTTTTCTTTTCAGCACAAAGGGCAACCCAGCATCTTCAGTTGGCATGAGGGGATCCTGGGTATGAATACACGTCTGCCTTGATGATCCCCTGTAATTATTTCAGCATCAATTATTCGTGTTTGGAATTTCATGCAGATGAGCCTTGTCCCATTGCAGAGTCCATTTACAGGATCTAGATTTCTAAGTAACATGATTGGAGCATTGACTTTCAGAGTGAGCTCATGTGGATGCAGACCTTGAGGTGTTATTGAATTGAGATATTCAATTGGATATAAGTTCTGGTCATCCTTTGGCACTAGTCAAAGCTATAGTATGTGCACTGCTCTCCTGGATATTTGGCCATGATCCTTTCAACATCACTGTTCAATGGGTCAGTTATCGTATTACACCAACAGCCTTTTATCTGGCTCATTCAAAAGTTCATGACCTGAGTTACGTAATTAGTAAATAAATAATAATAAAAAATCTAAATTTTCGTTAATTTGGAAATTGTTATTCGCGCCCCTCACGTGACTAAGACCAATAAAATCATCATATTTTAAGCCATTCATTGGTCAAATTACTACACTTAGACACGTGGGGTGCGAATAACAATTCCTTTATTTTATTTTATTTTAAAGTATTGTAATTAATAAGTATAAGATATTGGGCGCGCAGCGGCCAATATCATGACATCCTGGATGTCACTGAAATTGTCCATATCGATGTTATCGGGCAATCACTATTAAGCTATTCTTTCAAACGTCACTGTTTATTAAAGTTTAATTATATGATTTAGTTATATCTTATAGAAATGTTGTATAAATAGTATATCGATCATATTGACGTCATTTTGTGCCTAAAATAACAAAGCAACCAAAAATAGCTTAATAGTGCTGTTTGCCCGATAATTAATAATAATAATTAAGTAATTTTAGTATCGAAAAAACATTGCACACATTAAATCATAGTACTTAAAATTGACCAATCAAATCACAAAAAAGGACAGACATTTATAATTATTCAGCTCCATCATATAAAAAAAAGGACATCAATACAAAAAATTTAAAAAAATTGTATATCTTTTGCTATCAGTAAAACACGTCACATTTTGTCATCTGTCAAAAATAAATTGTTTTCCAACTATGTCAGCAAAAAAATCTTTGTGCAACTATGATTATTCACGTATATATTATATGTCAATCAAATGACAACTTATTTTTTTTAAAAAAACAATGTCCTTCCCAAAGAATAGATCCAAAAGAAGAATCATAAGAATGGTAGTTATCGCTACTTGTCATCATTTTAGGTATTATTAAAAGAATGATAGTAATACTCTTTCTTTAATAAAATTGATTATTATTATTATGATAATCCTAATTTCCGCTTACAGGAAAACGAAGATACACACTTGGAAATAAAAAAATATCTCTTATAATAATTATTTTTCCTGTATTTTATCATTACATTCTTTTATGCAAACTATTTATTGTAAAATGCAAATATACTTTCTTCTTTAGAAGAAGAAAAGGAATTTTTTTGTGGAAAGATCTAAAAAAGGCCATAAAAAAAATTCGAGCAAAATTCTCGAAGATGACAAAATCACAATATTACTAACCATAGCGGAAAACCTAAAGGTTGATGCTCAAAACAGAGTTGGCAAACATGCGGTCCATTGGTGATCTATTGGATCCATTAATGTAAAACACTTTAATCATATTTAGTATTTTATTAATGGCAATGGGCCAGTCCAAAGTCCATCAGTTCTCAATGGACCAGTTAATTTGCCAACCCTGGATCAAAATATGCTTGATGGTTTGTTAGACAAATACATGGAAAAATTACAAAACAAAGGACTTGAATTCCGTATAATCCCAAGTAGGTTATCTAAATATATACATGTACCTGTGTCTTTCATTTGGTTTTTATTATAATACTATTTAAATTTTTTTAATATACTAGCACAAAAGGAATTTTCAAGTTATGTAAATTTTGAAAAAGTTACTAATTTATGTGTATAAGAGGAAAATGAAATCAGGAAGAAATAATTGAAGAACTTCCACCTGTTACAAATAAAGAGCCTTGTCAGCAATAAAAACATTAGAAATTTACATCGAATCCACACTAGATAGCTTTTTTAATATTGAATAAGTATGCAAAATTATAAATAGTTTAGTTTCATTTATTTCATTTATATAAAATAAAAAATCTTTATATTATTGTATCACATTATAATTTATCACATGATTATGATCTGCAAACCACCTATAATCGTAATATGAAAAATGAAGTCTTATGGTTGAACAATTAATCTATTTTTTCCTTTTAATTCTTTTAGTAACATAAATCATAGCAATTATAAAGCCTAAGATTAAAGTTAGACCTGCTATTCATGACCAAATAGATTTACCATCAAACTTTTCTTTAATCTTTGAAGTATTGTTTTTATATTCTTCTTTTAAATCTGAGACATTATTTTTAAGGTGATAGATATTGGGACCTTGAATATGTAAACTATGTTTATAATCAGGCATTACATGAATTTTCTCTGGACCAAAATTTTTTACTATGTTTTCAAATAATCACATGATCATCATCAATAAAAATATCAAAGTCTTGTCAGTTCTCTTTTATTCAATCTAAGCGATGGGGAAAACTCCTTCCATTAGGGTTATTTCTTGGTTAAATCGGGTAGGTTTGTGTATACCAGACAGTGTGTGTGGGGTTTGCATTACATAAAAAATGCGCACACTGTTAATCATCACTAAAAAAAAATTTAATAACTATTACTATTTATTCTTTTTTATTTGTGAAATATGCTTTTTCAAAATTAAAATCTTGAGTATTGGACCATTTAGTAAAATCATTAAATGACTATTCAATGTACCTCATGTTTTTGTTGATTAAACATTTTTAAATGAATTGATAGCAATAAAAAATTGTTCTTTTTTAATTTAGATTATTTATTGATTTGATTTAATTGAATATTGAGTTTCAAAAACATCTTGTATTTATGATATTTTAATCAATAGGCATCAATAATTTATTGTTAACATCTAATGAAATTATTCTTGTATAATAAATAAGTTTATTTTTAATTATCAATAAAAATAGAATTATACCTGAAAACATCAATGATTTATTGTCAACAAACAATGGAATTATTCTAATATAATAAATAGAAGTATACCTGAAAACATCAATCAATCCAATCGTGTTTATTTTGATGATAATAATAATAAATCAAATATTTCGAGTACAGTTGAACCTTGTCACAGTGGACCTTGCCACAGCGGATTTCTTGTTACAACGGATTTAAATTTTGTCCCCTTTTTTTACTAATTAAAAATATTTGTCACAGCG